TGGGCCATGTGTTTCATAGTTATGCTCAGTATTGCCTGCATTTAATCAACAGTATAGTTATTTCCACTGCTTCTTTGTGTGCAATTATACGATGGGAGGGTTTTTTCCACCCCCCATGCAAACTGAGGGGAAAAGAAAAAAAAACTTGTCTTATATTTGAGTAAATACAGTAGGTCAAACAGAACTCACTCCATAGATTCATCACTCTACACTAGATATTGCAAAGCTACCCCAAGCCTCAGACTGCATCTGGACTGCAGGACTCCTCCCAAGACAGATCTGCTGGGCCAGCAGCTGCATGAGCAGTGGATTCAGCAGTGGCTGATGTGGGTCAAGTGGTGGCTGGGAGAGTGGGGGCAACAGTGGCAGTGTTCTAGCAGTACCAGACCTAGTAGTCACAGGGAATGGTAAATGTCAGTATCCATCTGCATGTAATTATAGAGAAGTTTTGAAAATAATTTCATAGGATTAACTTGACCTCTACTATTGGAGGTCAGCCAAAGCAAGGTCATACAAGTACCCTTTGTGCATAAAATTTGCTTAGTGAAGCTATGAGAAAGCATGTTTTTGGTGGTCCCTCCTCAGCACTGGAGTTCCTTCCCCCTTCAGGCCCATTAGTTCCCGAGCCTGAGCATCTTCAGAAAAATGTCCTTTTTTTTTTGGTAGGCTTTCAGCTAGTGAAGTTAAGTTTGGGGACACTGTTGGCTAGGGGAGGGGGTTGGGGAGTTGTTTATTACATAGTATTCTAGTCTAATATTTTGCCTGTTTTTTTCCCTTATAATTTATCTTGCTTCTTTTGTATTTTAGAACTACATGAGCTCCCTACCTCCCCTCCCCCACCTTGCCTATAGATAGCAGCATATAAATAAAATATAAATACAACAAAATACATCTTTTCAGTTTTTTATGTGACCGTTCAGGTTCTACTTCCACTTTTCTAATGGTGCAGATGGACTCTTGCATACTAGATAACACACTAGCATATTTGCATCTCTCCTTTGAGCTACTCAGGCCTTCTATATAGTGAGGCAAGGCTCAACTGAGGGAAATCTATCTCCAAGCCCCAGCTAGGCATAATCAGGAATTAGGCTGTCATCCTCAGGAAAATGCCCCTGCTCAGTTTGTACTTTATGAGCTCTGAAGAGATAGCAGCAAGCTGTCTAGACAATAGACCACCTTGCTGTTCCCCTGGATTGCTTGGAACTCCTACCCCTAAGTATGATCTGATTTGGACCCTTCTTTTTGTCTCCAATTGCTTCTGTTCCTGTCTTGGACCCCCTGGCCCAAATTAATTGCTTGCCCCAACCATAACCTCATTTTTACCATATCCTGACCCAAGACAGATGCCTAGCTTGACCTTGGCTTCCATTGTGATAAAATCCCTGACCTAGTATAATCCCCTAGGACTGACCACCTGTGCAGTGGCCAATCCTTATATTTTTCCCAGACCTTCTAATACAAGGGGCCATAGTCTATTGGCCACACTAGTCCCTTTTAAATGTCCCTCTCCATGAAAGAATTGGTGGCCAGCCTATATGAGTTGCAAATCTAGGTGGACACCCTGCAGGCACAAAACATGGCCCTATAGAACATATGGTAGCCTTATGACAGCAGAAGGCCACCTTGAGAGCTAGACCAGGCAACAGGGGTTGGGACTCAGCCTGTAGCTACCTCTCAGCTCACTTCTGAACTCAAGGTTCCATTACTAAAACCTTTTAGCAGAGACCTAAATTGTGAACCATGTCAGCTGTTACTTTGTCCCCCAAATGTACCTGATAGACAGGATCAAGGTGTGGCTGCTCATTCTTCTGCCTTTCCCTTAGGAGTAGAGGGCACTATGGAGTGAGCAAAGCCAGCCATGTAAGCCAGCATGGTGGGGAATAAAAGCACCCTGGAAGCAGCTGCAGAGGCTGCCCCAGCAGACAGCAAGGCTGCCTGGAGCATGGGGCCTAAGCCTCTGAAAGATAAGAGGCTACAGGGCAAGTAAAGCCTTGGAGAAGCCTGGCAAGCTAGAAGCAAGAAACCAGCAAAAAGGTAAGTAGTAATTTCTTTTTCTAACTCTGTTCTGCAGCTCTTGCAAGCCCAGGGTGGTGGTGCTATAGATTTAACTCAGCTGCAGCTGAGGTGGGGATCCTGGTCTTTAGCTAAAGCTAATAGCAAAAGTGAAAGTGGTCAGCTCTGAGTACTTGGTCAACCATGCCTAGCTCTGCTCTTCACAGAAGCTACCTGTAACAGAGTAGCATTAGACACCAAGATTACCTTTGTACTATACTTAGAAGAGAAGATACCAGTCACCAAAGAGCAATTGTCACCATGTTCAAAGATGGTGCCCTCCCATGTTTTGTGCACCAAGTGGTGAAGTCTACCCAAGTTTTTTTTTTTCTTTTCATGTGTGTTTTCTTACATACAGGTAGCTATTTTAGTCAGGTTTTCCTTTTCTATGGGAGTATATGCCAGGGACAGGACTAACTTTTGAGCCCTAAATAAGCTCATTATCCAAAACTGATATCCATTTTCCCTCATCAGTTAGCTATTTGAAATTCTGGGACAAGCATATGCCTTCATGAAGTTGCATCTGAAAGGAACGTACCACTTTGTTGGTATATTTAAGGGGATGAATGGAATACAGATTTCTGCACTCCATGTCATGGGTTTATCTGAGGATTCTCCCAGCCCATACTCTCCATAGCAGTGCTGGTCAAAAATAATGTCTGGTTCCAGTGCATCCCAGCAGTCCAGTCCTAATTAGACCACCTGAAGCAGGCACACAAAAGCCTGGCCCTCTTTTTCATACTAAAGGCAGATGCTCCCAACTTTGCAATTTAAGTGACACTGTCCCTGTGTTGGGGGCCTCAGGAGTCTTTGAACCCATGTTCCTTCTATACCCAGGAGATGATCCATACTGCATTTAACTATAATATTTGGGACAAGGAATTGTTGGCCATCAAGGAGGCCTTTTCAGAGTGGTAATATTATCTGGAGGAGGTACTATTATTTGGAAGGAGCCCAACAGCCACTACTGGTTCTGATGGACCACAAGAATCTAGAACATTTGTGTTTGGCAAGGAATATCAATCTGTCATGTTGGGCTGTGGGCAGCCAGGTGTGGGGGGGTCACTTCATGGTCAGGTGAAATCAGGAATTCAGAAGGCAGGAGATCTGTCCAGGAAACCAAGTCAGAGACTCACAGGGTCAGGAAGAGAGTGAGATATGGAGTCTAGCCAGGTCAGGTATCCAAAGAATCCATCAGTCAATAGAAGCACAAGTCAAGGGAAGCACTTCTGGTCCACTTCCGGGTCTGCCAGGGAGAACACAGGGGGGCACCACCACACCCCCCAGGCTTGGTGACTGGTTCCTCCTGGGTTTGGGTGGGGCACCCAGGGTCCCCCTGCAGCCTATTGCTGAGCCGTGGGAGAGTGGGAAGGGGGGCAGCGTGCTTCCTGGCAGACCCGGAAGTGGACTGGAAGTACTTCCAGTCCACTTCCTTGTGCACCACCAATCAAATTAAACACCCCCCCACACTCCTGTGGGATGCTCCATGCGCCCCAGCATCACAGCGATCATGAGCCATGCTGGTACTTCAAGGTGTATAGAAAAAACTTTTAAAGCTGTGTCTTTGTCCAAATTGCTGATTCTCTGAATCAGCATTGAATCTTCAGATTGGGGTTCAGCTGAATCGAATCGGGGACAGTGGTACGAATCAACAAATCGAATCACTGTCCCTGATTCAGGATGAATCTGAAGTGAATAGGGCCCGCCTCGCACACCCATACTGTCTTGCTCTTCATTTTTGATCCAAGAATCACTTTGTTAATCTTATTAATGGTTAGAACCTTTAATGGTTAGAATATTTTGCTTGAAGAGCAAGGGGTATATTAGTATAAAGGGGAATTTTTCCAACAAAGGTAATTCTAGAGTAAAAACTTCTACCTCTTGTGGGGACGGGGGGGGGAAAGCCTTTATCTTCAACACAAAAGTTAAATACCATATTTTCTTGCATATAACACATACTTCCCCCCCAAAAAACTGGCTGCTTTAAATTGTAGCATACATTGTATGTGAGAAATAGGGTAAGAACAGTTTCTGCAAATTACAGAAAAATTAAAATTAAAGTCTGCTTGAGTGACAGGGAGCAGAACAACAAGTAGGCTATGCTTCCTAGAGCTAGCTACAGACATTCAAAAAGCCCATGGTGGAAGTACTCTATTGCACTTTACTTAAACACGCTATAGGTTAGTGCAGGAGTGAACTGAGCAGATGTTTGCCATTTGGTGTGGGTTGGGGCTCAGAGCCTGCTCACACTGGCTGAGACCAGTAGGTAGGGGGCACTCTTGCACACCTCACAGCATGCCCCACAGGCTACCTAGGCTGCTGAAAATTCCCAGAGCCAAGTAGGCAAGCTGTTCCTGTTTTGATTTTGTGAACCACACCCCCAAACCTCTGCCATGTCACTGTGAACTATCCCCCTTGTTAGACCCGACTCCATGCGATGCCCAGCGACTAGGGAGACTATGATCCAATTGCTCATGGATCCTGTTTCTCATTAGCCATAGCAACCATGGAGCAAACACCAGCACACATTGCTCACAACAGCTTTATTCAGAATGGAGACAGCTTCGGGCAATGGTTCCTCACAGACACACAGCCCATGAACCAGGGGACCTGCACTGAACATTAGTTCTTTTTACATTTATACACCTTGGTTCATGCTCATTAACATTTACTCCACCCTGGCTTCTCCTTTGTTCCACCCTTATCTTCTCCTATCTCAAGCTCTGCCTCTGTTGATGGTTTACTTTATTAGCATGGAATTGCCTATGCATTTCATTCATTTACATGCCTCTCTGCTAAGAGTGCATGCTCAAGACTTTGATCCTGGCTTCCTCTGGTCACTTGCTGGTTCTTTCTAGTTTCTTGCTGACTCCTTCTTCAGCTCCAAGGCCTTGCTTCTGCTTTATCTCCTGATGAAAGCTGGTGGGCTACATCTTGTTTTCTTATACCATATATCCTACACACTATCCCATTGTTAGGAAATTGCTTGCTTAAGTGTTTGCAATGTTACTTTTAATATATCATTCTGCCTTGTGTGCAGCAGCTTAAAGCCTTGTTTTAGCTGCAAACCCAGTGCTCCCCCAAAATCCAAATATTGTCACCTAACACCCCTCACTCAGCTCTAGGCTTCAGAAAGAGTGCCAGGGTGAACATGAGTGCCTTCCACCACAAATAGCATGTGCCTCTGTGTTTCACTCTGCCACATCCTGTTATGATGTCTGTCCATCCATGCCAAAGCAAGGAGACCTAGGAGCTGTGGCGGGGCCTGCTGGTCAACCTGTGTGACTCTAGCCAGAGTCT